ATTTGAGTTTCAGTGTAAAGGCGAGTGCTGGTAAAGAAAATTGACATGTCCCGATCCAGACACTCGCACTCATATCCGAATTATCAAACATAAATTGTTGTGTTGCTTGGTTTCTTGTCAATTAGAGTTTTCATTGGTTAGCCAGGAATCAATTGAAATCGAGTTTTTCGAAAAATTGTACTCTATAGATAATTCAATGGGAGGGGGGCGGGGAGTTCGAATCAGAACTTCTTTTACCCAAAAGCTCTATTTGGTGGGTATGGGACTAATGGAAACCAAGTTTTGGAAAGAATGATCCACCAAAGTTGTTCATAAAAGAGAAGTTTGAATTGAGTTTGTTGTCGGTATTGCTCGAAAAACTATTTTCAAACTTCGATTCTTTATACACAATGAGGCAGCTACAACCTAGCAGATTCTTCATCCAATATTTTTCGAGTAGGCAGATTTATTCTCAGTTTATCTTCTACCAATTCGAGTTTTTTCTCAGATTTCTATGGACAATAATATTTGTTTTTGGCTTTTCTTCAGTCAATGAGATTTTTATTTCGCTGTCGCTTTTCTGAAAGAGAGGTTAATCCGTATTAACTTGGTTGTGTGCTTGGTTTTTTTAATCCAATTAATGAGAAAGCAATGTACGCTCAAGAAATGAAAGCTGATTGTTTGGAGAAATAGGGCATTGTGACAACTGTAAAGTAATGAAAATCTACATTATTTAGAATGAGACTTAATCACAGGTGGTCGAAGATGAATAGTCAACACAACAATTCTTATTGTATCTAGAGTTACTATGTCTGTAGAGCGCTTTTAAAAAGAAAGCAGATATATTATTCAGTTCAAAGTTTATATAATATTTCTTGGGTAGAATTCAACTCGAGAAGTTTCATAAAGTGATCAAGCGTGTGGTTTACAAAAGAATGGTCCGAGGATACACAAAAGCAACGAGACGGGAGTGGCGCCCAAGAGGAGTGCCACTCTTGAAGGTGGGGTGTGCATGTGGGTGCGAGGATTTCAATATTACCTTCACACACATTCACACCCATACTCTACTATCTCACACAACGATATTGATGTGCATATCAGTATTTACACTCATATCTAGTCTTTTTCAAATGTTGGATACTAGTTTTCTTGAGGACTGTAGATTATTATTTCTTCGACTGTAAGCAAGGTCATATGAAAGAATTTGCCGTTGTAGGTATGTATGTATATTTGCAGTCACGTGTGGGCGTGAGTGAAGAAAAGATCGATACCGGCACCAACACTCACGCCTTTTTCTTAGAGAACTAACTAACCTATAGCGAATTCACAATCATAGAGGTGTAAGGCAAGTAAACAACAACTTGAAAAAATTCGTATTTTATGAATTAGATGTGTAGAACAGAATCGTAATTTTTATTAGCTGAGAAGTGGAAGAGGAGATGAAAAAGAAAGAAGAGAAAATCGACCATTTTAATCCTTTCATGATAGATAAGTCACTTTTATAAAAATTCTTTACATTGATCATGGTGATAAAATTTATCACAAGTTTTTCAGCAGAAATCAAATGAGCCAGCAAAAAATGCTATGATATCCGTAAGGTGAGAAAAGAGTAAGAGAACAAAGATCAGGATACAGGATTCATAATTTTTCACACCCACACCCACACCCTCTTATGCTATGTAACGAGATGTCTAGTCAGATCGAAAAATATTGTGGTTGATGTTCAAATTCATATGCATTGTCATTTTATTTTACACATAAAATAATCAGAAGCTTTTTTTCCGAAAATAATGTTGCCGTTCATAGTTTTATAAAAAACATTTACGATTTATTTATATTACATGTAAAAGTACAATTGATTTTAGAAATTTTTAATTGAAAATTTCTAAAAATAATTGACAATCTGCATGGTTTAAATTCCAATTCGAATTTGTTTTTTAATAAACGGAATTTCACTGAAGTTTTTGTTTTGTTAGTTGTTTGTAATAAATATTGTTTGCTATCACTTCTACAGTTGCTGATTCAATCAATTTGAATTTTGTTTGTATCTAAAATCTGAATCGATGAACAACCAAATGGAGAAGTGATATGACTGTCCAAGATAATAATATGAGAACACCACCGGCAAATGGGTAACTCCAACTATAAAAAAAATTAAACATGAATTCATAAAATAGAAACAAGAAAAGGACAATAAATACAGGATATGTGAGTAGATATAACGACAATCAGTAACAATAAGAAACCAATTGAAATATATCGATGACGTGCACACTGTTGTTAGACACAATTGACATGTATATCCAAAGAGAAGCAAACTCGATACGAGAAATTTGACCACGACTATAGACATGACGAAATCATATTCCTGTTGATAACCGAGAGGTAACCTGTATGATTTCATGTTCGAAGCAGAAAAAAATAAAATAAAAAAACATATTACTCACCGAGTAAGATCCCATCTTAATATTGATGCAGTTAGTCGTCGAGCATAATGAACAATAAGTATCAAGAGCAATATGACAAGACCAATTTCCCATGGAAGAATTTTATTATAGAAAATAACAAGTATAAAGTGAATAAAAGTAAAAATTAAAGATGAGAAATAATGGTTACAGAAGAGAGAAGGGTTATTAGAGTGATAATATTGTTTATATAATAGAATTGAATAACCAATAAGCGAAATCACTAATAGAAACCAATGTAAAGACGAAATAAAAGTTAATGTTAGTTGCAATACCAAATGAAGTAAGACGAGTCGTATATGAAGACGTTTTTTCAACATCTACAAATGATATTTAGTTCCGTCAGACTTTCTTCAGTAATTTATACCACAGAGATTTAATAAAACAGTGGAAAAAGATAGACTAGTATATTCTCTATATGATTGTATCAAATTTTTCATCATCATTTCTATTTCTTTGAAATTCTGAAATAATCAAAAATAATTCTTTATTAAAAACTCAAGGAAGAAATGACTTATTCTATGAATGTGTTGAAGAAATTAAAAACACTCGACAAGTGTACAGATTTCGAAATTCACAATTTCGACAAACTAGTCTATACACGAAAATTTGAAAGAATCATTTGTCATCCAAAAGAAATGATTAGCTCATGCAGTTAGTAAACAATAAGACTATGCAAATTTGTATTTTATGGCTAACCAATTCCGATTGTAGATTATGTATTAATGGCAATGAATTGAAGCAGGTAGCAATTAGTTCAATAATAATTCATTTAATATAAATTTTCACTGTATGAGTTAATGAATGATGACTATTAATCAAAACTTAGATGTCGATATATAATTCAGTTGTGATTGCTGCACATAATCAATGTATTCGATAAATCTACAAATGCATACTTAATCGATGAAGATTAATAGAAAAGTAAAAATTATCATCATAATCTATTTTATTTCACATTAGGCAAATCTTCTAACAAATGATCGATAGTTTTTGTAGCTAAACGCGTAAAGTTGACTAAGATATGAGTGTACAATGAATGCGTCTCTATGTTAATGATCGAATAATCTAGTGTACTAAGTTGCCGAATGCCATCAGAAGAATAACGAAGCCATTTACTCAGTGTTTTAAATCTTAATTAAACAGAAATACACATTATTAATATTGAAAAACTAAACTGGAATACCTATTAAATGCAGGTATTTGTTTTTCATGACGAATCATTTTATAACGGCCAATGTTATTAGGTGGTCGATTAACACGGTAACCCGCATGACGCAATCTAACAAACTGGAAGGGAAGCACGACAATAAAAATAATAACTTACAAACCTGTGACTCATATCTAAAAATGAGACAAATAAAATGCCATATTTCGTTTCTTGTGTGATACTCACCGTCATCTTCGCACTAATGTATTTGAAGAAGAAACAATGATTTGATGCATAAATAAAATAAAATGCTTACTCCCCAACCCCAATATAAATTCGACCAACCATTTGCTTTAATGAACTGGTCTTTTGTCACAGCAAGAACACCACCGATTAAGTCATTATACATTAAGCTGAAAAGAACGTAAGACACAAAGATCATTGTATTTATTGGAGAGTTTAGTAATGAATTCAGTTGACATTGATATTAAATCAACGATCTACCTTAAAACTCTGAACTTATTCAAAAAAAAATAATTTTCAGATTTGAACAATCAATTTCATTGGTCCACACTGTGTTATAAACGTAATTCATTGCTGCATTTAATATTTAATGACTCAATACCATCTTACACATATATTTCTCTCAAAACCAAGATATTAGATAGATAATTCTCGATGCCTAATAAAAACGTTTACGGGTGTTCGAATGCAAAGATTACAGAGACTGAACTTGCGTAGATCGATACAGTTTGATTTTCTTAGATGAACATCTATACATTCAAGTTCAATCAACGAACTATCGAATAGAATTTAAGAAATGTCAATCCTACTTAGCTAGATAAAACATTGCAACTAACATGATAAATCTTTTAATTGTTGAAACTCATAATTCAATATGTTTCAGAGTTCTTTTAAATGTAACAGCATGAATCGACCTCAAAATAGTTAGTTTAACTTACGAATAGCGTAATTCATCAACTGCCGGTGCTAGATGCCGTGGTCCATGTTGATCACATTCATATACATTGTAGTCATTTTCGGGCATAAGATCAACATCATGAAACATGAAACAATTGAATACTGGTGCAGATAGTTTTGATGCATGACTAAATGCTACGTTCATGATCAAACCTTTGTTAAAGGTACCATTGCCGAACTATACTTTCCAAAAAAAATGTGTTAGTTAATGTGAAAAAAGAAATAAATTAATAATATGAACCTGTTCCACAACAAATATTCGATAGGATCGTTTTTGTCTTTGTAAAAATGGATGAAGATGACGTAAGAGTATTTTAAGTTGATATTCACGATTACGAAATGGAATTATAATAGCAAGATGTTGTCGAGGTGTACAGCCACTTGGAGAGTAAATTCCACCTGAAAATAAAGACAAAATATTTCCATCTGGTAATATTTGAGATTGCATGTGTTTGAGTTAAGAGTCGTCTAGAATTGTCTACTAATTAGAGCTAGAAAAAACTCTCGTTGTAAATAATTGTCGAAAAATGACTAATTGTCTCTAAACAATTATAATAGCTCTATAGAAAAAATACTCAATGGCAAAGTGACAGATGGGCATATTCATATAAATTTTTTTTATTGCTGTATAGTACTGTTATTTTATTAAATTGACACAATGCTTCTGCTTATGGGCTACTTTTTCTTTGAGACCAATAGTTCCGTCTCTTATTATAAGTGAGAATGAAAACATTTGAATAGTAAATAAGATCTTTATAGGAAACTAATTACACACATTGATATAGAATTATTAAGAACTTCGTATAATTGAAAATCAGTTCGTAATTCTTTTTAAACAATTATAAACAAGAAGTATGTCAATATTCATTACATACACAAAACAAGTCAAAACATTTTCAATATATATATTAATGGAAAGCCAGTTATCAGTCGTTGTAGCACGTCTTAAGTTGTTTAGAAACTTGTATTTGTTGAAAACTATTAATATGTACGGTGTCAATGGAACTCAAACCATCACGTTTTCATGCTTCTTAACGAGTTTTTCTGGGACTAATTTGAGTGATAAGTTGATCTTAACACATTAGCTTGTGTTGCTTTTACTTGCATATAATAGAAAGCTTGTATCAAATTACTCAATGATCGCAATATCGCTGTCAAATTTAAGTATTCAAATATTTCAGCATACATTGAATTTAAAGTATTTAAATAAAATATTAGTTATACAATCAAAACGGGAGGCATATAATATTTATAAATATTTTCAAAGTGTTTCGAGAGGTTAAGTTAACATAAAACCTGGCCAAGTATGACACAAAGTGTTCTGAATGCATCTAATATGTTGATATGTCAGCCGAACACTAGAAAATTTCACTCGTTGAATCTTCATTATACTACTTAAATAAATGGATTGAATCTTCTATTTTTGACTTCATTATAGACGATAAAAAAGGAACAAACTATTTGATTAAAATCCTGACATTAGTGACTTATCTTCGCAGAATTGTGGCGTTCATTATTGACACTGTCACAACTATTTTGTTATGTTCTCATGTGTCTTATTGGAGTATATATGTATACCTGTTTGCACATGTTTGACACGTTGCTCGATATCTGTCCATTTCATATTAGATGACATATCAACTAGTTCATTACCTAAAACGGATAATAACAGTAGATAATCGACAAAATAATAAATCACGTTTAATTCTAGACGTACCTTGAAGAGTGGGTGGATAGAGCGGGCATAACTGAAGGTTTCCTTGCTCATTATCTTCCATCATGTATTGATTGGCTGTTTTTTCATCATGCTTGTTACAAAAATGAATAATGAAAATAATTGTGTTTGCAAGAATAATCACCGGTAAATATTCATTATTTTTTAGTCGAAGAATTATTCTTTTATTAATCATCGATCTGCAATTACACAAGAATAGACTATTCGAACTTAAGGTCTCAACGATAAATGCTGAAAACCATTAAGACAACATATGGAAGCAGCAAGGCTGCACATAACATTATAAATATATTTTACAAAGAAAGGGAACGACATACGTTTCAAAAATAGCCCTTTTCTCGATTCTTTCTATCTTTACTTTCGTGTATCGATATGTGTAAGTGTTTTTTGCCATTTGTTCTTTTACTGATTGTCAATGTGATTCATTGAAATCTCAAGATAAAATCGATATTGATTTCAACAGAAGCCAAATATAATATCCATGTAAAAAAATTAGACGAATAACCTGGTTAAAACCGATTAAAATCGTACACCTTTAATCGGTTATAATAGATTAAAAGTTATGAAAAAAATTGATTATAATCGATGAAAATCAAAGAAAATTGATTAAAGATTTTGTCATTTGCTCCGAAGGAGGATGTGAGTGTGAATGTGACTGAAAGAAAAACAATATGAACATCCACATCGGGCAGTCACACCCACATCCCACACCCACACCCACACCCACCACACCCACACACTACATCCACACCCACACCCTCGATACTATATTCATTACTAAATAGCCTGTATCAATACTAATCGACTGAAATAAATCATTAAGAAAAATCAATCAATTTTCGGTTCAAAGTCGAGCAGTCTTGTTGTCTTGCTTTCATGAGTCAATACATTTTTAACCGAAAATCGATGCTCATGTGTGTAATTCTCTCGATTAAGAAACAGTTTAAACAGAGCAACGGATCTCGATTTAATGAACATACGCTAATGCGCACATAAAAATCGAAGTTTACTTCCATTATCTCGAAAGCGAGTAAAAAAGTTCACATATTCGACTCGTTGTCCGAATTTTACTTTGGCTAATTAATTTGATATATAAAAAAGCTGAGAAAATAATTATTATTTTCGGAGCTCTGCTGTATCGACATCATTCTAACCGGCTGCAAGCGCGATATCCCGTTCTCAGTATCATCGCGTCACATAGGGCGTGAGTATGGGTATGAATGTAAGTGCGAATCGAGAGAAGACTCACAGACACACACTCATATGACGCTTATTCTTTCTAATTGTATTCCATGAAGCTTGTATGGGTGCAGAACGATGAAACAGTTATTTTTTCTATATATCACATTGAGATATCAACACACAAATGGAAAGTGATATTCACTATATTACTGCAATATCTGACAAAATTTCAGACTATCATTGAAATGTTACTTTTGTCAAGAAATCGATCGAATGTTGATGCTCTTGCATGTTATTCAAACATTATTCGTACTTCACTATGCTTCACTTATACTTCATTTGTACTTCTTCTGTACTTAGTGGAAGCCAATTGCTATTGATGATCAGCTACGTTATTGGCGGATGGAAAAATTTGTGAGTTTGATTTTTTCACCGAAAAGGTCGGTTGTACAAAAATAACAATTTTCTAAATAAAGTTCGATCGAAAGTTTTCGGGGTTGAGATACCTGAACCTGTAGTAAGTTTCTTGAAATTTTCTATTTGTGTGTGTGGAAGTGAGAGCGAGTGAATCTTGTCTTCATTCACACCCATACCCTCTTCAAGATTTATACTCAGTCAACCGAAGTCTGTTGATTTAATCTTGTGAAAATTTACTTGTTTCTCTATTAGAACTGAACAATATTTATTTGAAAATTAAAATATTTGAACTACATCTGTACTTAGGTTCGTGTCTTTTGGAGTGTCATCGCTTTTGTTCCATTTCGCAACATTACATTTGGTCGTGAATGTGCTGTTATTAGTGGTGTCACGATATTTTTCGCATTGCGCATCCAAAAAAGTACTTTTCCAAATAGAGATTCGTTTTTGAACACGTTGAAGTAGGCTTCTGATGGACAGATAAACACTAAGAATGTAGCAGCTTGCGGTAGATAAATAATCAAATTGGTTGATGTATTCAATCGAAGAAGCCATTTGATTGTGACATCTACACATGAGAATTTCAATGACAGTACCAATTGAGGTAGAGTACAAACCTGAATAGACAAAGATAAGTTTTTGTGAGAATAAAAAATTAAGAAAATCGAGCCTCTACCATAGCCAATGTTGGTGCAAGAAAGAGATGGCCATGATGTCGAAATTGTCTCACCCATTGCGACCAATATGTTGTTTGATGAAGAGTGGCTCGTCGTCGACTGATCGATTTCATAATTAGACAATTGGAAACAATATTCAATGAAAACGGTACGAATAAATGTAGAAATGAAAAAACTTTATTTAATGTTAATAACTCTGCTGAATATTTAATTTGACACACGAATTTTCCTTCAGCAACTGGATCAGGAAGCGTAACACGACAGATCAATTCATGAGCATGCATCAAGAATATACAAATGATAACGATGATAATGTGTTTTGATGCAGTTGCTTGTGAACGGATTCTATTTATGAAAGGATTGTGTTCAAATGAATACAATGATCGTTGCAATGCAATAATTCCATTCATCCAAAGACAGATTCGAGTAAATATCGATGCAAGACCAGATACAACATTGCATATGATAAAGAATGATATATATGTAAGCGAATCCAATAATTGAAAAAGCCGACATTCGAGCATAAGTATACCAAATAAAGAACAACAACTATAGACAAGAAGATAGAGACCAACTGTAGTTGATCGTAATTGTATACGACAGAATGTATCGATTGACAAGATATTCGATCCAAGAGCGAATAAAACCATTAATGTAACAGAAAATGCATAAGCAAAAGTTATAATTTGTCCTTGATCAATGTTGCTTGTTCGAATATCTGTTTTCATACTCGATGCANTTGTCCATTTTTTGAAATTCCGTAACGAACGATATTTTTCAAATAATTTCGCTATGGCTTGTGATAACTCCATGAAATTTTCAGTGCTCACAGAGCTAGTTTACCTTTATGTATGCCCAAAATTTCAGAAGCATTTCTCTTGTTATTGAGAAGATATTTATCTCACAAGTTGAAAAAATGAAATTCCGTAACGCTTGGCCGTGCCGATATCCTACTACTTTCTTACGTTCATATGAAATTAGTATGAATTTTTAATTACAATTGTTCCATTTATTGTCAATTTTATTTGTGCGATTATCTTACTTATTCATTGTTCTCGTATTAAATATAAGACACGGACTACGTTGTCATATAATTTTGTTTTAATTGAACAAATTCGACAACATAAACATTTGTTTATTGCATCATTAGTTATCATTCTACTGAAATTACCAATGTTCATTGTAGTCCTTATTCTTCAATGTATCGATCATAAATGGCAACTCATTCCTGGCCTTATCGTCTATTTTCTTGCACTCGTTCCACAAATGGCAATTTTCTTCATTTTTATCTTTCCGATTAATTCATATATGAGAATTTTTGTCAAAAAACGCAATAGAATGTTTAGATTTATCTTGATGAGACATTAAACAAAGTATTATTTGAAAATGGAAAATGATTCACATATCGAATTATTCGTCAAAATACTTTATTTATACATTCTTTTGTTGAATAAACTTCCGATGAGCTGTCAGTGTTTGCTCGGCCGAATCAACTGACTCAAATAGTGAACACTAGCATCATTATTTTCTAGATATAGACGACATCTAGATATTGTACCAATACCTGCACGCTCAGGGTGTGGGTGGGGGTGTGGGTGAGTGTAAATGTCGGTTATCTCTTTACCCACACCTATCCTGGTATAATGCATCACTAATCTCACTCTTTTCATAATCGCTTTTAGACGTCTTCGGCAGCATCACTTTGATCCATTCATCATTTATGCCAAACAATGATTATTGATATCGAGCTCCGTCAGCCGCTAATGAACGCATCTAGATTTGTTCTTAAACTTCACCGAATATGTCTCGTGCTCTGATATGATCAACCTTATAAATTATATTTGATACAGCCGACTCCTTTTGTGTTAACCTTTCATAAGAAGCATCTTTTGAAGTTTTTCTTGACAAAAATTTTCAAATACGCGAAAATCAACTCAACCATTCTGAAAAAGTCACTCTAAGATTTCACTTATTTTTGCAATAGTATATTTCTAATCAAGGCGAAGTCAGTATTATTACTTAATTCTTTTTGCAACTCAACTGGTTGCATCATAGTAGTATGCAAGAAGACAGAATTGATGGCTTCTTTCTTTACTTCTAGTAAAGCGTGTGCCTAAGAGTAGAGTAACATGATATCCACCCCCACACCCTGATAATTACTGTGAAAGGCTAAATAGACATTGGAAAATACCCTGTTCGATCATAATTTCGTTGCCAATATTCAAATCTATTTTTTCCAAGTAGATTCTATAATCTGTTTTGATATAATCAATCACTTATGACATATCATTGTTTGAAATAGATTACGCCTCTCTTGATGAAGAACATTAATCCATTTCCAACACGATTGAAGCCATGATGAATGATCGTATTCTTCTTTTGATTTAATATTGCAACAATCACCAATGAAATTAGCAGTCAATTTGAGGCGAATAACAACATCAAGAAGTTCAATTTCATGTCGATCTAATCGAACTAGGTTTTGATAAGATACAAGAAATGTATTCAATCTATTATCATCATCAATACCGTTAGTGAGCAAGAGAAAGAGAGCTGTAGCCAAGTCAACAATCAAAGGAGCATAACAGGCTTCACCAAAATCAATTATGTAGACTTGACGATCATCATCCGTACAGAGTGTATTACTCGGTTGAAAATCATTATGAATTAGACCTTGTTCCAATTGATCGACTTTTTCGTTCAATCTCTCTTGACATTCAACTAGTATCAAACGAAGATAGTTGATATCGATTTTCTCAAGATGTTTACATAGAGAAAGACGATCAAACTGTTCTATCCACCATTGGCATGTTAATTCTCGTTTCTCTATGTTCGTGGAAGGTACTATAGATATAAAAGTTCGTGATGCTAGACGTCACCGTCCAAGTAAAGTACCCATTTTCATTAAATAGGATTCGTCAATTTCGATCAAGGAGGGTACATGACCATCGAGAAATGTTTGTATGAAAAGATAATGATTGTTGTTGATTTGAACAACAAGTTTCGAGTTCAATGTCGAAATAACTAGTGAACACGGATAATTTATATTCGAATAAAGATAATTTTGAAAGTTGAGAATGGTTGTTAGATGATCAACATTGAATTCATGATTAATTATTTTCACCACATATTTTCTATTCAATTTGAGACAAACTAACCAGGTTTCCTCTTCAACGTAGCCGCCTGGTAAAGTATTAATAGACATGATATCATCAAAGCCATATTCGCGTTGAAGTATGTCGTTAATCTTAAATTTAGAAATGGCAGAATTCATTGTTGAATTTTTATTATATAAATACAAAACGATATTGAACTATTGACTAATAGTCTTTCCTCAATAAAACGATAATTATTCTTATGTGAGATAGAAATTTTCACTTACTGAAGCATTCAGGATGCACTTATCAAAACGTTCACAGTTCTTGTTTAATAGAAGAATAGAATACAAAAAAAATTTAATGTCACAATCGCCTCTCTTATTACAAAATAAGAGGAGATTGTTGCACAAGAATTTGTCTTTTTATCTTATCAGTTTATATGAAATTAAATTGAGACAGGACAACTTCATATCTTTTATCATGCATGAAATAAAACTGAGCCCTTTAACGGCAGTATCAATCGAAAGAAAAACATCGATGAGATGGTATATTGTCAGAGGGGCACAAAGTCGTTTCTTTCTTATAATTATATCACAATCAGTTATCACTCCTAATAAATACCCAGTGACTTTCAGAATCAAAAATATTTCATGTATTTAACCTTTTCGGAAACATCAAAATCGTTACATTAGTTTCGTTCTGCTAACATCATTCTCATTTCATGAATTTGGTTATTCGTGAAAATCATTATCACCACATTCGTTTTATTTTTTCTACAGCATTTTTATTCAATTATTATAATTACTTCTTAAAACTAAAACAATTGCATTACTTTTGAACCATTTTGGGTGTGGGCGTGGGTGGGTGTAGATCGAGAGAAGAAGAACACCCACACCCACACACACCCACACCTACATCCACACATCCCACACCCACACCCACACATACCACACCCACACCCACACACACCCACACACCCACACCCACACACACCCACACACCCACACCCACACCCTTGAGTGTCCACAAACGTAACACTCTAAGACTCAATGAATCTCATCGATTAGTGACAAGAATTGTATTTCAATACATTCACAGCAATGAAATTCGAAACTTTTTTTCGAGTGCCATCGCGGTAGCGGCGCGGGAGCAGAAAATTTTAAAAAAATCATCGCGGCGCGGCAGTGCCGCTGCAGATTTTCTTTCCTATCGCCGCGGCGCGGCAGCGGCAGATTTCGAGCCGCGATGGACATCTCTGATATAGAGGTTAATATTTCTTACCAATGCGGATGTAGGTGTGGGTGCTGGTCTTAGTGTGTGTGATGGTTTTCATCTTCTCCTAACGGGCATCTTACGCCTGCACCCACACCCGCACCCATACCCAAACCCATACTCACACCCATACCCACATCCAACCCGACCCGACCCGAAAATTGAATCATATATTATATATATATATAAATGCGTGCCATGATTCGATAAAAATATAAATAAGAGAGATCTTTTATATACACATTTTTTTATGAAGTAGTGTCAGAACAGTTATATATTTAATAATATAAAATGTGCCTCTATGTATGAAAATTAGCACTGAGCATTTCCACATTAATACTGTTCGTTGTAATCTTCTGCACTTTAGGTGTTGCCAATTTTGAATTTCCTGGAAATCGAAATTTACCATGTCCTCGAAGATTTACATCCAAGTATCTAGTTATCCAATACGTTCTGGACAAAGAAGAGAATTGTTATGGAGACTGTCCATTGACACAAACATTTTGCAGTCTGTTGTTTGGTGATAAAGTAAAGCATGTTTTCGATTGTTATTTGATGGTTCTCTTTAAAACGACGTGATTTAATAAATTTTTCTTTTCATAGGTGTAACGATAAGATGATTTTATCGTGATATCGAACTGCTTTATTTCACTAATTCTTCTCCTTTTATAGTTACATTCCCCTGCTTCGGGGCGCGTCAAGCAACCGGAGAGAAGGGAAGNCTAGGCGAATGTCGGATCCGACATTGGATGCGTTCAATCTCGGATTGATGCAATTCTGTTCACTAAAAAAGCAATTACTCTTTAGATAGATGTTGGAGTCGAACTATTTTTTGAAATTATGTTCGCACAATGCCGTTTTAAGTAATACAAGCATTTAGGAAGAAGCTAAATTTAGATTCAAAAATTTAATAAAAATTTTTCATCAAAGTTGTTGTTTTCTAGAAATTTATTCATAGCTCCTAAAATTTTACTAAAATCTACCAAATGACAATTGTGCCAAAATAAACAGGCATTGTGTGAGCATAACTCTAAAAACCAATTCGAATCCAACATCTATCTAAAGAGTAATTGATATTTTAGTGAATGGAATTGCATCGATCCGAGATGGGACGCGCCCAATGTCGGATCCGACATTCGCCTAGACCAATCTGAGATTGGACGTAATCTCAATTTGGACGCTGACATATATATGTCCTAGAACGTTTAATAATTTTATTTCTTTTACTAATAGGGTACAATTTCATATAATTCAAGGTAAACATTTTTTTTTTTATTATCAATATGAACAAGAAAAAATAACTAATTTTCATTTAGTTATGTACTTGTTTGTGTATCAATTGATCGTCTCTATGCTATTATTCGACCTATGGATGTACGAACAGCATCTTCAGGTATTTATATATATATATATATATGTCTTTATTAATTATCATTGGAGTTTATTGATTTATTTTTGTAGCATTTCGTTATTCATTGATAATCGGTAAGATAAAAATATTTGTTTTTCAATGTAATAAATTGATGTATTTTTGTTAATTAAAAAAAAATCAAGCATCATGGGTTATTTCAATGACATTTGCTTCTGCTCAATTATATTTACGAGATATCGAAACAATACGAGGAATGCCCATCTGTGGTAATCGATCAGATGTTCAAAATTGGAATGTAAGATTTTTTGTTTTCTTTTTATGTTTCAATACAAAGAATAGAATTTTGTTAATTAGGCATATGTTTATTTTCTTTTTATTTCACTTTATCTTGTTCCATTAATTGTTATGACTGTATCATATGTTATTATTATTGTAATCATATGGAAAAAAAGTTCAGTTAAAATTAAAGATGAAATACCACATGAACGTAATGAAAAATCTAAAATTCGTCGACTTATTGCATCGAAAACATCAAGTCAAAATGGTAAAAATAAATAATTATTGTTTCTTCTTGTTATCTTTTTAATTTTGTTCTTTTAATTAAAAAAAAAAAAAAAGCAACAAACACAGGTGATCATCAAATTGAATCAAGTATTCGTAATGTGCGATCACTTGGTGTTATACCAAGAGCGAAAATAAAAACTGTTAAAATGACATTAGTCATTGTTATTGGTAAGTTTAACAATAAATTAAAAATAAAATTCTATGATTGTACAATTATCATTGTCTTATTTATTTTTAAAACATTAAATGTATTTTATCATAAAATTTTAAGTTTTTTGTCATAGAAAGTAGTCTGTTTTGAAATTTTCTAAAAAAAAATTTATATTTAAATCGAACATCATATTTTCTGATAGATAATATTTGTGAAATTGTATCTTGAAATTTTTCATCAAACCAATATAATGCTTTCCCAAAAATATCTTCATTATAAGTATCTGTTATCTAAGATATTTAGTTATTAATGTATGAAAGTTAACAATAGTTAAGATCTATATTGAAAACAATAGTAATGAAAAAGAAATGGAAATAGAATGATCTTTGTTTTGAATAAATTTGAATAATATTAATAAAAAAAAAAATATTCAAGTTAATAAGAAAACAATTGATCTTATACAAATAGTAATTATTTACTTGTATGATTTATTTTTCTTAGCTTTTACTGCATGTTGGTCACCATACTTTCTACTTATGATAATGAATTCGCTCAATCTAATTCAAAATTATCTTCTTATTCGAGTCACATCATCTTTATGCTATATGAATTCATTAGCTAATCCACTTATTTATTGGCTTTTTGTAACTAATTTTTGTCTTCGATGCAGGTATATATTATTTACTTGTTTAATTATTTTCATAAAAATTAAATTATATAAATCTATATGTATTTTATATCTATATATATTAATAACCTTTTTTTTCAGCACCCAACGATCATCAACTGTTTCTCTTTCCTAGTAAATTAAAAAAAAAAAAAAGTTCTTTGATATGATTGTATTTCACGCATGTTGTTCTTCCTACACAGTCATAAGCATTCATCAAATAAACAAGCTACTGCACAAAAATTAAACCGAATGACTAGATTATATTTGCATGACGAACAGAATTGTGAATGACCGTGAGTGATATGTATGTCATCCAGACATTTCTCTATTCAATTATAACATATAAGATTTTGAATAGTGAAATGTTCATATATTTATTCAATTTGATATTGTCATTATTTATTATATCAGGAAAAAAAAGCAATTTTCCCTTTTCTTATATTTAGAGAAAATTATGGTTGTAACCAATTACTAAGAACAACTTTAGCACCCAATGTACAAAATAGAGGACTTTGTTCTTTAACAGAAGCTCGATTTAGTATTGGTAGTGCAAAACAACAACGTCGACGTTCAAGTGATTATCATCGTGCACATAATCCACGTACACCAACAGTTTCAATACCTGTACCTCGTCAATCAAATTATCGTACACCAACATCAGCTCATGCTAGAGCAAGTAAGCGTATTGTTCAACATCAAAATTCACAAGCATCACTTCTATATGGTTATCCATATCATCATTAAATCAAAACATTACCTTATTTGTAGAAATTATGAATTCTTTCTCTTCTTTTTTTCTTTTTCTTTGCCTTTGTTCTGTGTCATTTCATACATAAAAAAAAAACGACAATGCCAATTCGTTATCTTAATTGATTGCCGCTAAGGCAAGCATCTGTTGATTAGTATTGTGTCAATTATTGTAAATAGCAATGATAGGAAAAAAAAATGAATCGTTGTCCATGCTTTGTCATTCTCCAGAATATAGGAACAATAGTACAATGGTTTTACAAGAGATATAATCGTTTATGTTAGATTTTATGTAGTAAGTCAGTCTATCATCACTTGCATAAACAATGTTATCAATGAACTGCTTTTGCTTGAGTTAACCTGGCATATGAATTGCTTTTTTTCTTCCTTGACAAGTTATGGGACCCACTCGTTGACGATAAAATAATAATTGATCCTTCATGTGCCTCATAAACTAGAGAGTTCGGTTAAAATATTTTCTGATGTCTCTTCTTATATATTGTTTGACATTCGAAGTAATTAGTCTTTATCCCTTGTTTTACTGACAGACAAAAGAGATCATTTGGGTCCCAGGGGGTTATTATTAATCTCTTATTGCTGCTGTTTGTTTGTATTTCCATACACAAGACTAGAGATATCGTGAACCTTGCAGCGACAATTATCTCTTTTTTTTTTCCTACTCTAGTTATCTTGATCTGAATAATAAAACAAAAGATTACTCATTTCTTTTAGTTTTTAGGATTTAAAACGTGTTAAGATATGTCGAAAACTGAAGAAACTTTACGTGATTGTGGTCGTTGGATATGTCATTCATTTGATATATTAAAAGCAATTATAATACGAGTTATATTTGCACTTCATGCAACGATTGCTATTATTCGTATTGTTATTGCAAAAGGTGATTATTGGTATTTATTAAATATGTGTGGAGTAAATTTTCTTCTTATTGAACTTGTTATTACTGTTATTACACGAAAAGGTTTGTTGATTTGTAAATAAAAAGAAAAATATTTTATTTGTTTATTTATTTTTTTCTAGGCAAGGAACCTAAATGGTAAATATTCAACGAAAAAAAAAACTACTAATAATAATAATGAAGATTATTGAATAATTTTAGGTTTTCACCATGTTTCTTTCTTTATATATGTACAATGATACCACCTATATGGTTTCTTGAAATAAATCGAATAAGTATTAAACTTGGTCATCAACCACTTAATCAAACCGAAGTTGAAGAATTAAAACTAATGATTGAACGAGGTCTTATAACAAAAGCTAATCTCAATGATAAAACGGTTTGTTTTGTTTTCATTATGCTTTTTTTTTCTTTTTCTGTACAAAAGAAAAATGTTTTTATTTAAAATTTAAACCAACGAAATTCTATAGGATTTAGTTATGAAAAAGGTGAGGTAATAAAAATAATCATTGCATGATGCATGATTATATATATATATATATACATGTATACATATATCTTTTATTTTATAAGATATCTCACAATAACAAATCAAAGAAAAGAAAGCTTTGGTAAAATAAGATAATTTATTTTGTGATTGATTCTGGTTATTTTAGTTCTATAGTTATATATTTTTCAGTTTTTCTTTTTGGTCGAGCACCCCATGCTGGATAATGATTAGGATAACGACGCATATAAAAAGCTAGTATACCACAAGGAATTGATATAAAAAATAGTGATGGAAGAATTATATTTCGGAAAATAATTTGCGCTTTTTTTTCAGTATCACTTAAGAGAACTGTAGAAGAATGAGAAGGCGGAGACGAATAAGGAGATGAAGAGTTACTAATAATGATAGCAATTGTTTCGATTGGTTGTTCGTCATAGATACTTTTTGGCGTCCAAAATGTTAATGTTGATTCATTGATAGTATGATTTGATGTAAAACCAAAATAAATTGATAATCGACTTGTAAAACCACGTGAATATAAAACAGTTTTAATAAGTAAAATTGTTGTTAACATACAAATAAGTGAAATAATAACAATAATTAAAATTGATATAATTGAAGATGATTTTAAATAAACAAATGTCTTTGGGTCATTTTCATTTTGACTTTCTTCATTATCTAATGCTTTACGAATATCGTCATCAGTTGCTTTAGCTGGGAGTTTTTGATCGTTGTCATTTTCTGCCATTCTTGTCAAGGTCACACGTGCATACACGAGAGTATAAGTTTATATGCTTTAGTGTTATTTTTATTCTTCTTTTTTGTTTCTCTTTCTCTTCACTGGGGGTATTACAGTACATTGATGCTTGTTCTCATTTTGTGATTCATTTGAAAACAACTGTCGACAAGGAATATTAATCTTTTGAATGTTCGTTTTAATATTAAAAAAAAAAGAATATGACACAAAAAAAATGATGTTCTGTAAATTTGATAATAAATCAATCTATTGTCTCGTATATCTTAGAAGCTAATGAACTTTTCTTTAATTAAGCTTCAGAAATGATAAGATTTATGTCTTTTTAAAGTAAAGATTTGTTTTCATGACGAACTGATCATAAATCATGTACAAATATAATTAGTAATATAAAAAAAAAAAGTCATTATATGCCAAGGATTACATGTTGTTTATTTTATAGAAGAGAATATGACTTAGGCATTCTCAGTCTGTCAAATTGAAACGTAATTAATTTTGCTTTTGGAAGTTTTACGATAAATTCATTTTTCTAAAGATGAACAAATTGTATCTTTTATGTGGAAAATGAATACTACAATGATCTAAAATCACAATAAGACTTTTTTATTTAAGACTTCAGAATAAATGTTATCGATATATAGAAAAAATACGTTTGTTTTTACGCTACCTTATGGTATGGAGTTCTATGCAGCGGCTAGTTCAATGACTCGATATCTTTTCGATAACTATGACATAACTAATTTCAAGAACAGGTGTATGTCATATTGTAGTCAGCATGCTATCGGAAGATGTTTATTCGGAAAAAAACAGCCGTTGTTGACTTGTCTAGAGTCATTTTTGATAGCTGACAGCATTGAGGTTTACATACAGTATTTTGTGGATACGTGTCAAACAACGTAGTCACTTAGTCATAGCTACCAAATGTTATTGAAGAGGCTAACAATGAAACCTATCCAGATGTCGACTCAGTTTTCGACCGAGATAATGTTCATTTGATGAATACTACAGAATAATGTACAAATTTAATATTTCAGAACAGGAAATAAAATCGATTTTCTATGTGATCTATGAAGAGAAAATCGAGTAAAATTTTGATATCTCAAGAGCGAAGACTTGGAAAAATGAAATATTCTAAACTTTTATATTAATCACTAAAAATCATCAAATGAGCATTGTCTCGATCGAAAAACGATTTGATACTTGAAGAGGTTTCCTTGTAACATTGCTTTTTCCTTTCATATTCAGTTTTCAAAATTTTTTATCGAAGTAAAATTCTTTTTAGAAATTTTACATGTAAAATCTATAGAAAAATATTATTTTTACAAAAGAGAAATTGATTTTCTAAATTTATTCTTATATATAATTTGTTCAGCACGTTCTATATCTCTATTGCATGTGCATGTAATGAAAACAATATTTGGTTCTTGGCATGTTTTAGAAAATACGTTCATTTATTATTCATGATTGGACTGTGGCTATTGAAGTAACATTTTTAATGACAATTATCATTGGTCGTTGGTTATTACCAAAAGGAAAAATAAGTCGTTCGGCTCTTTCTCAACTTTTACTTGTATATTTATCATTAGCGTCCGATATGATTGATTTATTATCAATATTTCAAGAAGATAAAGTTATAGAAAATTTTGAAATGATTTATTCAACATTAGCTGTTTTTTCTTGGTCAACATTACAATTTAGTCTTAGTCTTGTTGCATCACGTGGTCGAACATTTCGTGTAGAATCTAATAATCGTTCTCATCCACAACGTATTAAATCAACATATCAAAAGTTAGCAAATAGTGAACTTCCATCTATATTTATAACAATATTAATGCAAGATTTACCATTTGTTACTATTCGTTTAATTGCTGTTATTCATTTTAAAGTACACTCATATACAATAATATTTTTTACTTGTAAAAATCTTATTATTTTATTTTTACAACTTTATCGTTTATGGTCAATTTGTATTGAACATATTGATCAAGATGAACAAATTGATTTTGATCGTCATCCAACACCACGTCGATCACCACACACTACAGAATCACTTACTACTCCGTTTATTTTAGCATGATATCGCATGAATCAAATAGCATGAACTATCTAATTATATATATATATATATATATATCGATGTAAGTTTATTATTGTAAAAATTTTTCATTATTTAGATGAAAGAATGGGGTATTGAAGATGCAATGCTTGTTGAACTTTCTTTTATGTTTATTATTATTCTTGGTCGTTGGATATTACCAAAAGGAAATATTTCTCATAGTGCTTTATCTCAATTATTGCTTGTCTATTTATCACTTGCTTCGGATATACTTGATTTATTAACATTATTTAGTGAAAAAGAAATTTATTTAAGTTCATCAATGGTTCATATTGTTCTTATTGTTTTTTCTTTATGTATGTTTCAATTTGCACTTAATTTAACAGCTACTCGTGGTCGTTCATTTCATGCAGAATTTGATGATACAGAAATTGAAATACATCAATCAATACAACCACCACCATCAGTTTCAAAATTTGTACCAGCACATCATAAAATATTAGATAAATTTATTCCTGGAACAATATCTTCATCAACAACTCGACCATTAGCAACAAGTCAAACTCATCGTATTAAACCACGTGCATCATCATTTAGTCTTTTTAATCCACCAGATACAATCATCGAAAATGTTGATATGAGCAGTAGTTACGAAATGAAACCGAATAAAAATGTCGTCAGTATGTATAACTAAACTTTAGTTTTTTTTGTTTTTCTTAAACTTTTCGTCGACAGATAGACACATGCATAACAATGTACGATATCTATTCGTTCGAATAAGTAGTTCGGAATCCTGTCTTCGACCTTGTTTTCATGTATATTGAAGATTCGATGAATTCAAAAGATTGTTTAATTGTGTATTGACTTTGAGAATAGTTATCCAAAAAATATTTGCATCTAGAACAGTTATCTATGGATATGTCGTCATCTTCTTTTTCTTACTCATAATAAAATTGTCGGGAATTTTACAATGATTGTTAATTGTTGATCTAAAGATCGAATAGTAAGATATTTTCAGGCAAAACTATATATATATATATGAATATCGGCCTTGTCAGTTCAATGTATTCAAAATAGTGTTCACATTCTCTGAAGACAAATTTTTTAAGACTGTTAGAGAAATTCTAATGTGATTAAAATATGAAATGCAATATAGCTGATGTTGCTAATTACAAAGAAACTCTTGTGTTCTATCTATTTTGGGACATTTCTTTGCTATACTTTTAATTAGTCCTCCAGATATGCAATAAAGACGTAGTTCATATAAGAACTAGAAATTATTCGTATACAGTTTTTAATCGTACATTATTAACGCCAGTCATAATCAGTGATTGGAGAAGGAGAGATGTTGTCAGAAATGTTTATCAGATCTGTGATATGTTGTTCTTGAGATGTCTATCATGCCTGTGAGAGAAAGATGTGATAGTGCAATTTTCTAGTCTGTATATTTCGGCACTCCTTTTGAGATATTTGTTTTACAACAGTACAATAGCTCTATTGAATATTTGGTTTTGTTTCTAATTTAAGTTCCGAAACCAACATTTCCTGAAGTTGATCCACCAGTATATGTTCCTCGTCAAACAATGATTCATCTTCCATCAATAAGTTCCCTTAGTTCATTACATTCATCAATATTCAATGCATCACGTTCCAAACAAACGTCACGCAAATCCATAGCAGACAGCATGAAAGTCTTTGTTCGTAAACGATCAGCAAAATTTCTTCGTTCAGAAATTTGGTCAATTCTTGTTACATTATCATTACAAGATGGTCCTTTTTTTGCTATTCGTCTTGTTGCCATTATCGTCTATCATGTACGGTCATTTTTAACATACTTCTTTACATTTAAAAATTTTCTTATTTTAATTTTTCAAACATATCGTATTGCATCTATATGCTTGGAAAAAGATGAACAAGAGAAAGAATTTCAAGAAAAAGTTGATACAATCAGACGCATGAGTGTTGCTGCAACGCAACTTGGTATACCACTTTGTAGAAAAATTTAGTTCAATTTTGTATACTTTGTAATTGTATCTTTGCAAAATGATAATAGATAAGCACATTATGTTTGTGTTGTTAATTTATATTGTAATTGATAACGAAGAACTTTCAATAAAAGATATAATAAAACAACATCTATTATAGAATCTAAATGTCTCATCCAGAACTGTGTCATTTGTGATTTTTATTTTGCGAGATATATCTATGCGATCCACAAATTCATAATTCAAGGACAATGAAGGAAAATCTAATTAGTAGTTCAAAATGTATTCATAAGTTAATGACTTAAATTTGTCAGAGTACTATGAAAATTAGAAAATTCAATATCAGTATATAAGCCAATGACTCATAAATTGACACTGCCAAGGAATTCAAGACATCCAATAAACGAGAGCGTATGAATACTCGTATGGCAATTATTCAATTTGTTTTTTTGAACGAAAAAAAAAATCAAACGTGAATTCATTCAAATGAATTCAGTCTTCTGTACAAAATAGCTTAATAATTCAATTCACATTGCTAAACGATTCATTATGATGCATATGGATCTAAAAATCGTTTTCTTCGAATCAACTGAAGTAATATAGACTTTTCAATTTAACTTGACCTGTACTAAGTAAAATGATTTGATTTTGAAATTATTTTTTTCTAACCAATCTCTCGAACAATCAAAGCTAGCAAGAAGCAAATTAAAAATCTTTGTAAATGATGCTTTACTTATGGTAGTATCATACAAAAAAAAATACTTTTTCTCGTTTATTGCTAAATAATCTTTATATAAACAAATTAGAAAAATAGAATTGAAATTATTTTTGTGTTATTAGTTAAGCAAGATTGAAAAATGATTGGCCATTTGCACTGCAACTCAGTACAGAGTTTGGCTGAAGCGATATCCCATTAATATTAACAGTTCGTCCACAAACAGTTGCAAACTGTG